TGCATGAATTTAAACGCGCTACTAGGTTGGCATCTCAGTCCCACCCTTTCACTGTCCAAATGGTTAAATGTAGCCGTCTCTTCTTCTCCAATAGCTTCATGTCTTGCACTTCCCATCTGTGGAATTCCCTTCCTCTTACTTACTTCTCTGATAACTATAATCTCCAAATGAACATCTCCAGATACCTTGGTCTATTCCCCGTCCTTCTCTTCATCCTTTCCTTTATCACGTCTCTTTACTCTTTCTCCCACTCTCTGGAACCTCTTGCGTACTTGTGGCCTCCCGCCATGCTTGGGGTGAAATGCTTAAAAAAAAAAATAAAAAAATAAAAATAATATTAATTTTAAATATTAATAATATAAAATGCCACTATTTATATTATTCGGACCATTGTCCTCATCTTTATCGCCATATTTATCACAACGTTTCGGCCGTTGTACTCTCTGGCCTGCGTCAGGTGGTTGAAATGTCGAACCATTTGAGATCCAGGTGCCATGTCTATTGGATATCAGTTATCTCCTGTTAATTCCCCTCTCTAAGTTCTCCAGCGTCTTAACCAGGTTTTGAACTCACACTCTTTGGGTCCTGCCACTGGATCTAACTAACGCCTTTATCCACTGTACCATGTGATCTTGAATGTCTTCAGCCCACATCTTTTTACCAGTGCTCATATTGTAATTTTTGCTATTATCATTGCATAATTTTTTACCAGATCTCATATGGCACGCGGAATTAGAACAGTCTACCCCAGTGAGCGAAATAAAGTTCGACATTCCAACCACCTGAAGTAGACCGGAGCGTATAACAACCGAAACGTTGTAATAAATATGGCAACAAAGATGAGGACAATAGTCCGAATAATGTAAATAGTGTACATAATATCTCATCTCAGAAATATAGACAGACACTTAAAGGTCGAAATGTTGTCACAAATATGGCAAGAAAGATGAGGACAATAGTCCGAATAATGTAAATAGTGTACATAATACCTCATCTCAGAAATATAGACAAATAGTAAAATACCACTATAAAATAATTAATACAAATTATTAAAAAATAAAATATTAATAATAAAATTATTTAATGTATAAATTATGTAATGATTATATATAAGGAAAGGATTAAAAGTATTAAGCTCTTCATCTGCAGATGTAATTTTTGGCCAAACTATCTGAGGGCCTATATATATAAATAAATAAAATAAACTTTTTTTTTTCATCGAATGGTTGTCGAGGGTCTACAAAAAACAATTAAAAGTAAGAATGTTCATGTGTAAAAAAAAGTTCAGAACCATTGCTTTAACCACTTCATATGATTCTTTTTTATAACCTGTGTCAATAAAAAAAAGAAAATATATCTTTTTTTTTAAGCATTCAACCCCAAGCAAGGCGGGAAGCCACTAGCACGCCGCAAGGGGTTACAGAGAGTTGGAGCAAGAGCAAATAGGAGTGATAGAGGAAAGGATGAAGAGAAGGATAGGGGATAGATCAAGGCATCTGGAGACGTCGATTGATATTACATTTGAATAGTTGGAGATTATAGATATCAGGGAAACAGGAAAAGAGGAGGGAGTTCCACAGGCAAGAAGTGCGAGATATGAAGCTATTGGAGTAGAAGAGACGGCTACATTTAACAGTTTCAACAGTGAAAGGGTGAGAGCGAGATGCCAGCCTGGTCGAACGCTTAAATTCATGAAGTCTGGGAACCAGCGAAAGCAGCTCATTGGAGCAGTTACCGTGAAAGTATATGTAAAAAAGACAATATTTACCATCATCTGTTTTATAAGCAGCTATAATTTTATTGCTCACAATTTCTTCCATTCGCTGTCCTTTCACAATGAGAAAAATCATGGCTCTCCACAACATCCTATATTTTATGCCTCTAAGCAATGTTTGTAGTCTTACCATACCTCCGAGTCTCGCCCCTGCATTCTATGTTTGTAACAAGTGGGGAGGGTTATTTTCTATTTTCTTATCTTCCTCTAACATTCAATATGTGTTCTGACTGTGAAGTAACTTTTAATATTGGAGAAGTTCTTAAAAATATAATGGGAATTGTGGTCCCGGAATCCGAAGGCCTATTTTGATAACAAAAGATGCCTTCCAAAAACTAAACAATGTAATTAGAAACAAGAAAATAGAAAAGAAGAAAGTCTCTCAATGAAATGTCTCCAGTAGAATAAAAGAAAGCGCTATAAAAAGAAACATGCTCTGGTGAGAAAACTGAAGAAAGAAAGAAAGAAAGAAAGAAAGAAAGAAAAAAGAAAGAAAGAAAGGAAGAAAAAAGGAAACAAAGTCTCTCAATGAAATGTCTCCAGTAGAAAAAAAGAAAGCGCTATAAAAAGAAACATACTCTAGTGAGAAAATTGAAGAAAGAAAGAAAGAAAGAAAAAAGAAAGAAAGAAAGAAAGAAAGAAAAAAGGAAACAAAGTCTCTCAATGAAATGTCTCCAGTAGAAAAAAAAAAGCGCTATAAAAAAAGAAACATACTCTAGTGAGAAAATTGAAGAAAGAAAGAAAAAAAAAGAAAGAAAGAAAGAAAGAAAGAAAGAAAGAAAAAAGGAAACAAAGTCTCTCAATGAAATGTCTCCAGTAGAAAAAAAGAAAGCGCTATAAAAAGAAACATACTCTAGTGAGAAAAATTGAAGAAAGAAAAAAGAAAGAAAAAAGAAAGAAAGAAAGAAAGAAAAAAGGAAACAAAGTCTCTCAATGAAATGTCTCCAGTAGAAAAAAAGAAAGCGCTATAAAAAGAAACATACTCTAGTGAGAAAATTGAAGAAAGAAAGAAAGAAAGAAAAAAGAAAGAAAGAAAGAAAGAAAGAAAAAAGGAAACAAAGTCTCTCAATGAAATGTCTCCAGTAGAAAAAAAGAAAGCGCTATAAAAAGAGACATACTCTAGTGAGAAAATCGAAGAAAGAAAGAAAGAAAGAAAAAAGAAAGAAAGAAAGAAAGAAAGAAAGAAAGAAAAAAGGAAACAAAGTCTCTCAATGAAATGTCTCCAGTAGAAAAAAAGAAAGCGCTATAAAAAGAGACATACTCTAGTGAGAAAATCGAAGAAAGAAAGAAAGAAAGAATGAAAAAAGAAAGAAAGAAAGAAAGAAAGAAAAAAGGAAGCAAAGTCTCTCAATGAAATGTCTCCAGTAGAAAAAAAGAAAGCGCTATAAAAAGAAACATACTCTAGTGAGAAAATCGAAGAAAGAAAGAAAGAAAGAAGGAAGGAAAGAAAAAGGAAGAAAGAAAGAAAAAAGAGATACAGAAAAAGAAAAGAATGATCTCAAGGAAATTTTGGAGAAAAAAGCTTTATAATATACATCAAATATTTCATATTATGAAAATCAAAGAAAGAAAGAAAGAATGAAGATAGTTTGTTGATGAATTGCTATAGGAAGAAAAAGGAAAGACCTATTAATAGAAAACGTATCCTTTTTAGATGGAAAATCAAAGAAAGAAGGAAGGAAAGAAGGAAGGAAGGAAAGAAAGAGTGAATGAAAGAAATAATGAAAGAAAGAATAAAAGAAAGAATAAAAGAAATAATGAAAGAAAGAATTAAAGAAAGAATAAAAGAAAGAATAAAGAAATAATGAAAGAAAGAATTAAAGAAAGAATGAAAGAAAAAATTGTAAGACGATAAAAGAAATGCTACAGGGAAACGAGGTATTGATTTTTTAATGCCGTGCCTTAATAGTAACAAAATGGCTTCCCAAAAAATGTTTCCATCATTTTTAAAAAAAGGTAAGTGTTGGTTAAAAGTGCAATGTTAGTTATTCAAAATGAATCCATTTTAGAACAAAGATTATAAAGAAAAAGCTTTCGATATCTGGGATTAAATGCGAAAATATTCAGAAGAAAAAAGGACGTTTAGAAAATTTAATATTGATATAGTTTGAAAATATTTTAGCGGGAAACTTTTTTCAAAGAGAATTTTTCGCACACCTGCAAAAGTTTTGGTATTTTTTTCCTAACATTTTGAACGAAATATATATGTATATATATATATATATATATATATATATATATATATATATATATATATATATATATATATATATATATATACAAAGCATTCAATGCTTTCAGATTTATATAGAGAGAGATGAGTAAGCTATACAGATAGATAGTTATGTACAGGTCGATGAATACGTCGATAGACATAAAAATACCATACATAGGGAGTTAAATATAAATTGTACATTACTGACACACACACACACACACACACACACACATATATATATATATATATATATATATATATGAAGAAATATACTCTTAAGTTGTGCTATATTTATGGGATAAAGTGCTCAATATCAGAGATATAACTTGTGTAAATATAAAGGTGAACTTTGAAGTCAACTCTTAGAGGCGAGACAGGCTGTTTCATGCTAGATGCAATCGTCAGGCCACCTAGCATGAAACAGCCTGTCGCCTCTAAGTGTTGACTTCAATGTTCACTTTATATATATATATATATATATATATATATATATATATATATATATATATATATATATATAGCATATTTTTCATTCAAGCATATGTTGTGAAATAATTTAGACGTTTATGTCTATTTACTTCAGTTTTAATCCTTTCAAGTCCACGAATTAATTTCTTGGTAGTTGTAGAAGATTGATAAAATCGAAGAAATGAATAAAGAAAGAAAGAAAGAAAGAAAGACAGAAACAGAAAAAGAAAAGAATGCTCTCAATTAAATGTCGTATAAAAAAGGATGAAAAGCTTTATAAAATAAATCAAGTGTTTAATGTGGCCAACATCTGCAACACGGGCCACATCAATACGATAAGAGAATTCCTCCCAGACGCGTATCAGCATATCACGAACCACTGAGTTAATCATGAGTAATTGCTGATTCTTCTTTAGATCTTCAATGTAAATAGCAGGGATATTCAAACATATCGTGGCAATAATCTAAGCATGTGCAAATGGTACACATATAGATATGAATGATAGATTCTGGTAAGAAAAATAGTCTCCCTCTTACGGTTACATCTAGCCAGGTAACCATAACCCAGCTCTACTGTAACCACCAGTCTAGTACTCTGCTTAAACGCAAAAAGTCTAGATAACAGCGAAGAGCTCACTCGAAAAATTTCCATAAAATTATTTATAGAAAACGCACAGAGAAGCACAGAGCTGCCAGATCAGTACCGATAATATTGCTGATTCTGGTGTCTTATCAAAGAGCTCAACGTAAATAGCAAAGGTATCGAATAATATATCGTGGTAAAAATCTAAGACTGAACGAACGGTAAACTTATATATATATATATATATATATATATATATATATATATATATATATATATATATATATGTATGATAGATTCTGGTCATAAAAATTGTCTCGCTCTATACAGGGAGCCAATTTTCTTAGCAGCTGATGTAGCAATGGATTCAATATAGTTTTTTCCATTTCATATCAACTGAGAATTTAAGCCTGAGGAGGCGCAATGATTCCCCCTCCTAGAGGCTGACATCAACCATACCGATGGGAGGGAGGAAAGGGTCTTTTAGGTGATTAATAGAAATACGTTTCGTCCTGGAGGCTGGGATTGATTTAGGTTGGTTTGGATTGCTTTACGGCATATCAGCCTCAATGGTTGGTATGCCGTAACTCAATGCCGACAACATTTTCATTCTTGACGATATTTTTTTTTCAAAAATCTTTTTCTGGTAATATTTTTTTCCTACAAAAGTATCTGTTTCTGGTAATTTTTTTTTTTCAAAAATCTATTTCTGTTAATAATTTTCCTTTCAATGCGTATATCTGATAATATTTTTTTTCAAAAGTATTTATAGCTGAAAATAGTTTTTCTAGAAAAAAATGTATAGCTGGTAATATTTATTTTTTCATGTTTAACGTCATCGATGTCAATGGGTAACGGTGGAACATAAACGCCATCTTTTACGTATCGACACTAGAAAAAAAATCACACACGGTGAGGTCTGGGAATCTTTCAGGCGAAGCACAAAGAGCGAGGTTTTGGGCCACTTTCCAACCAATCCATCGCTGGAGCAATTCTGAGCACTCTCACGGCTAGTTCGATTTGTGGTCTTTCATGGACTCAACTCTTTTTTGTTAGAACTCACCATTTTGGGTGTAAACAAACAAGTGAACGTTGCAGGAGATACGATGCGACAACAGCGCCCTTGCGGCAGTCATTCAAATTCTCGTCGCCAAATTGTTGTGGATTCCGTGAATGGAATCCTGCACAAATAAATAAACAACGCCAGTAATTGAGATAGAAAAATAAGTGTATTAAACGTAAGAATACAGACTTGAAGTGAAGATTAGTAGTCCAGGAATGCGGATTAGTAGAAAGTATATGTAGTCTCTGTAAGTAAAGCCGTAATCATATCTCTCTCTCATGCTCTTATGCATTAGACATGGCACGTGGAACTAGAACGTATACCCCAGTGAGCGAAATAATGAGTTCAGTTCGACATTCCAATCACCTGAAGAATGCCGGAGCGTACAACGACCGAAACGTTGTAATAAATATGGTGACAAAGATGAGGACAATAGTCCGAATAATGTAAATAGCGAACATAGAGAAAAACTCATCCGAACAATTACCATGAAAGTATTTATAGAAAAGGCACAGGGAAGCCATATTACGCAAGTGAGAGAGCAGCCAGATCAGGACTGATAATATTGCTGATTCTTCTTTAGATCTTAAAGGTAAATAGCAGGGATACTGAAATATATATCGCGGCAATAATCTAAGCATGAACGAATGGTAGACATAAAGATATGTATGAGAGATTCTGGTAAGAAAAATAGTCTCCCTCTTACGGTTACATCTAGCCAGATAACCTTAACCCAGTTCTACTGTAAACGCCAGGGGCACCTGGGCGTGGTTTAATAGTTAGCAAGCTTGTCGTCTCGCTAGAACAATTACAACTGATTAGTGAGTTCGATCCTCACTGAGTTCTCCATACTTCTGGCCTTGTGGCATATCTAAGCAGCGCTTAGAAAATCTGTACTGTAAACGCCAGTCTAGTACTGCGCTTAAATTCAAAAAGTCTAGGTAACAGCGAAGAGCTTATTCAAAAAATTTCCATAAAATTATTTATAGAAAACGCACAGAGAATCAACATTACGACGGTAGAAAAGTGACTGAAACCGAGCTGCCAGATCAGTACCGATAATATTGCTGATTCTGGTGTCTTATCAAAGAGCTCAATATATATATGTCTGATAGATTCTGGTCATAAAAATTGTCTTGCTCTATACAGGGAGCCAACTTTCTTAGCAGCTGATGTAGCAATGGATTCAATATAGTTTTTTCCACTTCATATCAACTGAGAATTTAAGCCTGAGAAGGCGCAATGATTCACCCTCCTAGAGGCTGACATCAACCATACCGATGGGAGGGAGGAAAGGGTCTTTTAGGCGATTAATAGAAATACGTTTCGTCCTGGAGGCTGGGATTGATTTAGTTTGGTTTGGATTGCTTTACAGCATATCAACCTCAATGGGTTATTTAATGCCGACAGTATTTTCATTCTTGGCGATATTTTTTTTTCAAAAATCTTTTTCTGGTAATAATTTTCCTTCAAATACGTATATCTAATAATATTTCTCCGAAAGCATTTATAGCTTAAAATAGTTTTTCCAGAAAAAATGTATCGCTGGTAATATTTTTTTAATTTTTTATAGAAATCCATACCTGAGGAGAGAAGAGTTAATGTCATTCAAGTGTCATACGTGAAACACGCTTAGACTAACGTGTCTTTTTCGATTCATGAATGACGAGGCAGAAGATTTTTCTCTCAGTAGGATGACATTTGCTTCTACGGTAGACTGGTTTCAAATAAAGGCTATAGGCTCCAGTCAGTCCCTCTCTTTAATCCATAGCTGAGGAGAGAAGAGTTAATGTCATTCAAGTGTCATACGTGATAAACGCTTACGCGATCATGTCTTTTTCGAATCATGAGTGACTAGGCAGAAGATATTTCCCTCAGTAGAATGCCGTTTCCTTGTAAGGTAGAGTGGTTGCCAACCAAGGCTATAAGGTCCTGCCAGTCTTGCTATTCAACCCATAGCTGAGGGTACACCTAATTTATTAGTTTCTATTCATGCCATGTTCCCTGTTCCATTCTTTTTTTCATGACCTGCCTTTTTTTTATTTCACTCTCTTTTCTCGAAAGTTTTTTTTTTCTTCTGTTTTTCGCGCGCGCCGATGATTGGAGTGTCGTTTTTACTCAAAACGATAGTAGCGATCTGGTCCTATAGTAACGGAATTATTTTCACGTGCTGTGGGATAAAAAACGACTCATACACACATCGTGACCATTCCCAAGCCATGTTAAGCATATTTTATGACCTGGCGCGGAGGGTTAAATTCGGGAACGGAAGGAAATCCCTCATCCACAATTTCCTCTCAATTAAAAAATAAAGAAAAAAATAATTTATCTGTTTTCTCGCTGGACTGTGTAGTCTCTCTCTAAGAGCGGGGAATATCCACAACATTCCGTATTCACGTCATTTCGCGACTGAACCAAAATTGAGTTTCTACTTCGTTTTTATTATTTTTTAATCGGATTTACCCCAAGAGTAAAGTGAGATATAATAGTGTTATTGGTATGAAAGAATTTTTTTAAACTACTTCACCTCAAGCAAGGCCGTAAAGCCACTAAGACACAAGAGTGTTATTGGGTAGGAAAGTACAATTATTAAGTAGCGAGCGCAATAGAAGAATAATCAGGGAGATTATGATTAAAGTTAACTGGATATCCGGAACCAAGTTTCACAAACAAGAATATTTTTAATCGATTTCACCTCAAGTAAGGCCGTAAAGCCACTAAGACACAAGAGTGTTATTGGGTAGGAAAGAATTAAAAAGCAGACAAATTACTAATTAGCGGAAGCAAAAAGAATACTCATGAGGACAGTAGATCGCGATCGACATTGCATTTAAGATTTTGCAGATTAAAGATGGCTGGAAAGCATAGAACCGGAAGTTGAGTTCCACAAGTGCAAGAAAAGTTACTCTTAGCATGGAACGAATACATTGAGTCAATAGCTTCGTCCACCGCAAGGAAAGTTGGCTCCCTGTGCCGCGCCAGGAAATTTTTCTCGCCCGAGTCAATCCTTCACATCTACAAATCAACCATTCGCCCTTGCATGGAGCATTGCTTCCATATATGGTCTGGAGCCCCTTCTAATTGTCTCAAGGTCCTTGATAAAATCCAGAGACGGATATGCAATGTAACTGGCCCTGATCTGGCATCTCGTCTGCCGTCGCTCTCTCACAGACATGCCATCGCCTCCCTCTTTTTTTTACAAATACTTTCACGGTAATTGCTCCGATGAGCTGCTTTCGCTGGTTCCCAGACTTCATGAATTTAAGCGCTCAACTAGGCTGGCATCTCGCTCTCAGCCTTTCACTGCCGAAACTGTTAAATGTAGTCGTCTCTTCTACTCCAGTAGCATTCATGTCTCGCACTTCTCGCCTGTCGAACTTCCGTCCCATTTCTTGTTTTCCTATTAGCTATAATCTCCAACTATTCCAATGTAACGTCAATCGACGTCTCAAGATGCCCTGATCTATCCCCTAACCTTCTCTTCATCCTTTCCTCTATCACTTCTCTTTGTTCTCGCTCCAACTCTCTGTAACCCCCTTGCGTGCTAGTGGCTTCCCGCCTTGCTTGGAGTTGAATGCCAGTCCCTCTCTTTAATCCATAGCTGAGGAGAGAAGAGTTAATGTCATTGAAGTGTCATACGTGATATACACTTAGGCGATCATGTCTCTTTCGATTCATGATTGACTAGGCAGACGACTTGTCCCTCAGTAGGATGCCGTTTCCTTCTACGGTAGAGTGTTTTCAAACCAAGGCCTATAGGGTCCAGTCAGTACTGCTCTTCAGCCGATAGCTGGTTGCTAACCAAGGCTATAGGATATGTTCCTAAAGTACCCGTTGTACGAGTTGTGGTGTCTTGATAATTTCTGTGAATGCTTTTTACACTTTGGTACAGGTTTCCAATTCCTTATGAACTTTTGTCCACGACACAAACGACATAGCGATTTCCAAAAAAAAAAAAACCATGCAATCTCGACATCGCCGTTTATCACCACAAATACCGCATGTTGCTTCCTTTCATCCGATAACTGGTTGTTTGCAACTGGTTCTTTGAAAAGATAAAAAGCTCATTAACTGATTATCGCATCACTGCTGGCGTACAATGACATGTCATCAAATGAATTATACAGCATGTATATTCGCGAATGATACCACTTATGTAGGTACGTCGCTTACCTAATGATGAGAAAAACATTCATTTTTCAACACAATGGCTTTTCCCTATCAACGCACTTCATCAAGCCCTTCTCGATAAGTACAAGAGATCGAACCTTATACACTGAACTTTCACTTCAAAATACATTTAATAACTACTTGTCAGGCTTCGGACTTATTGATCCATTCTTGTCTAGTCTGATGAAAGCTGACAAACCTCAGATTTTAAATCATTGGACAAGAACACACACACATCACACACACACACACACACGCCTAGACAGACACACCCACACACGCCAAAAGACGCCACATTGACGAGGAGAGACAGTTCGAAATTAATATTTATAAATATGAAGATTTTTCGATGACAGTTAAATCCAATTCTTCGCGAATCGAAATAGGAAATAAGGCCTTAATTTAATTTGTTTGTAATCACAGAGTAAGGAAATGTGGAACAACGTGTTTGCGGTCTTCCATATTTGTTAGAAAAAGAGTTGAACTCATTTCTTGTTTAATGGCGTCGTTGGTGTTTTGCTGGTCATTTTTGTTCGCCGGATTTTACCTTCAATCTCTCTTTCTATTTGTTTTCTTTCTTTTTCAAGTTTTTTTTCTTTTTTTTTCTTTTCTTTTCTTTTTTTTCTTGCTTTCTTTTCTTTTCTTTTTTGCTTTCTTTTCTTTTTTCTTTTCTTTTTTGCTTTCTTTTCTTTTTTGCTTTTCTTTTCTTGCTTTCTTTTCAGATTGAAGTTCGTTCATCATTCGATTTACTTTCTTTCTTTCTTTCTTTTCTCGTTTTGTTCATATTTCTGTTTCATTCATTCTGTTTTTTTTTTACTTGTTTTGCATACCACTTTAATTCACTCTTTCTTTCTTTCTTTCTTTCTTTCTTTCTTTCTTTCTTTCTTTCTTGTAAATCTTCTCGTCCCAATCGTTCATTTCTATCTTTCTTTCCTCTAGTTTTCTCCCTTTTTATTCATATTTTTTTATTCATTCTTTGTTTCTTTCTTTATTTTTATTTCTTCATTCATGAGTCTTTCCTTTCTTTCACTGATATTCTTCCTATCCCTTGCTCAAGTGTTTTCCTTCTTTTTTTCTATTTAACTCAGGTCATTTTCTTCTTTCTTTCTTTCTTTCTTTCTTTCTTTCTTTCTTTCTTTTTTTTTTTTTCATTTTCGTTCATAATTTCTTTCTATTTGCCATTACTTATTTAGTTACTGTTATATACCATACCTATGAACACTAATGGGTATGTCCCAATCCTCATAAATACGTTGGACACTATTGTAAGTGGGGTTAATATGGTGTCTATGTAGTCCACGACTAGCAGTGGTTTACCTACTTAACGCCGCTGGCGAGTATTGTATTTTGTTGATGTTATAAAGATTACCATTTCATTTCCAACCTCCATTTTGGTTATTCCTCATTCAGTAACCCTTTTCTAAGTTTCGACACTATCTATGAATCTCTTTTCATTATCTATCTATCTATCTATCTATCTATCTATCTATCCCTTTGCATTATGTATCTATCTATCTGTTATATACCGTACTTATGAACACTAATGAGTATGTCCTAATCCTCATAAATACGTTGAGCACTATTGTAAGCGGAGGGTAATATGCTGTCTATGTAGTCCACCTCTAGCAGTGGTTTACCTACTTCACGACGCTGGCGAGTCTTGTATTTTGTTGATGTTATAAAGGTTACCATTTCATTTCCAACCACCATTTTGGTTATTCCTCATTCAGTAACCCTTTTCTAAGTTTCGACACTATCTATGAATCTCTTTTCATTATCTATCTATCTATCTATCTATCTATCTATCTATCTATCTATCCCTTTGCATTATGTATCTATCTATCTGTTATATACCGAACTTATGAACACTAATGAGTATGTCCTAATCCTCATAAATACGTTGAGCACTATTGTAAGCGGAGGGTAATATGCTGTCTATGTAGTCCACCTCTAGCAGTGGTTTACCTACTTCACGACGCTGGCGAGTCTTGTATTTTGTTGATGTTATAAAGGTTACCATTTCATTTCCAACCACCATTTTTGGTTATTCCTCATTCAGTAACCCTTTTCTAAGTTTCGACACTATCTATGAATCTCTTTTCATTATCTATCTATCTATCTATCTATCTATCTATCTATCTATCTATCTATCTATCTATCCCTTTGCATTATGTATCTATCTATCTGTTATATACCGAACTTATGAACACTAATGAGTATGTCCTAATCCTCATAAATACGTTGAGCACTATTGTAAGCGGAGGGTAATATGCTGTCTATGTAGTCCACCTCTAGCAGTGGTTTACCTACTTCACGACGCTGGCGAGTCTTGTATTTTGTTGATGTTATAAAGGTTACCATTTCATTTCCAACCACCATTTTGGTTATTCCTCATTCAGTAACCCTTTTCTAAGTTTCGACACTATCTATGAATCTCTTTTCATTATCTATCTATCTATCTATCTATCTATCTATCTATCTATCTATCTATCCCTTTGCATTATGTATCTATCTATCTGTTATATACCGTACTTATGAACACTAATGGGTATGTCCTAATCCTCATAAATACGCTGAGCACTATTGTAAGCGGAGGGTAATATGCTGTCTATGTAGTCCACCTCTAGCAGTGGTTTACCTACACCACGTCGCTGGCGAGTATTGTATTTTGTTGATGTTATAAAGATTACCATTTCATTTCCAACCTCCATTTTGGTTATTCCTCATTCAGTAACCGTTTCTAGGTTACAACAGTTACCTCTTTCTTTTTTCTTTCTTTCTTTCTTTTTCTCTTTCTTTATTTACTTAATATCATTTTGTTTTCTTATTTCTTTCTTGTAACTTTAACTTCTTTTTCGGGTTATTTCTTTCTTTTAACTTTCTTTCTTTTAACTTTCTTTCTTTCTTTTCTCTTTCTTTATTTACTTACCATCATTCTGTTTTCTTCTTTCTTGTAACTATAAACTCTTACTCGGTTCTGTCATTCATTTTTTTCTTTCTTTCTCCTGTTGTATTGATATATCTCATTCATTCATTCATTCATTCATTCTTTCTTTCTTTCTTTCTTTTTTATTCATTACGTCTTAACTTTCCGCCTTTTCTTATTTTCTACTTACTTTTCTCCATTCTTTCTCGTAACTTCGTCTCATTCCTCTTCATTCAACTGTTTCTTTCTTTTCCCATTTTATTCCTATTTCTCTTTGATTCATAATTTCTTTCTTTTTAATTCATTACTTCTTAGTTTCTTTTTTTTTCTTTCCGTTTCGTTTGTTCCTTTCTTTCTTTTAACTTCTTCTCATCCTCTTTCTTTCTTTCTTTTCTTTTCTTTTATTTCTCGTTTTATTTATATTTCTCATTCATTCTATCTTTCTTTTTTCATTCCTTACTTTCTTAGCATCCTCTTTTTTTTCTTTCATCTTTCTACCTTCATTTTTAACATCTACTCACTCTACAGTTCTTTCTTTCTTTCTTTCTTTCTTTCTTTCTTTCTTTTATTCGTCCTTTGCCTCTATATCTCTTTCTTTCTCCAATATCGCCATCCTAGTAATACCTCTATTTTATTATTTTTCCTTCCCTTCCCAGCATCCTCCATTTTCAACATCTCTCTTTTCTAGTAGCTCTTTTAACAATTCCTCCGATCCCTCACCTCAGCGCCATTTTTTTCTCAAACGTCGCCCTGCGGTTCCACACCCGAAATGATATGTACTTACACATTGCAAGTGAGGTCGTCTGTATTTCACAGACTAATAAGAACAGACCCTTTTAATCTTATAAATAGTACGTAAACCATTAATATTTATAAATGCATAAATATTCATAAACTTTGGGCGTTTTTTTTCTTTTTTCTTTTTTGTTTTTTTTTAGCAGACGATAGTAAAAACGAAACCAGATATTCTTTCTTTCTTTTTTTTTTTTTTTTTTAACTATTTATCTTTGTGTTTGCCACCGAGTGAGCTGATATTTTTCTTTTTAAGTCTGTATGCGACTTATCCACCCTGTTGGAAAGAGATGAGTTAGCAATTTTTACGTTAAAATGCCTCAAGAAAAATTCCGTAAAAAAAAAATTAAACGTAATTTCAAATAAATCGTTCAAATTACGTCTGATGCAGGCGGCTTAATAAAAGAACCGGCCATCAACCTTCTTTCTTAATTTACTATAGCTAATATTTTAACAAGGACACAATAAAAATTTAATCATTTTAAAAATATATGTATATATATATACGTCCTCCGACAGGATTTGAACCTGTATCCTATACGGAACCGTCATATAGCCTGACGTGCTTTACCGATTTAGTCACAGAGGACACAGGTTCGATTCCTGTCGGAGGACGCATATTTATGAAAATTTCTCGGACATTCAGGCCGGTAAATGCCGTTAACATATATATATATATATATATATATATAGATAGATAAAAAAGTTGCAAATTGAAAAAAATTATAATGTTTTTTATGAAAGTATTTATTTATTTATATATATTTTAATATTTCAATTTGAAGTCAATCTGAAATATCAAATATATATATAAGTAAATAAATACTTTCATAAAAAATTTATTTTTTTTTAATTTGCAACTTTTTCTATATATATACATATTAAAAAAGTATACGTGGCTTCTCGTTATGCTATTTGGACCCCATATATATATATATATATATATATATATATATATATATATAGAGAGAGAGAGAGAGAGAGAGAGAGAGAGGTAATTAAAGGTTAATGGTCAGAGTTGAATCAGACCAGGAAACGGTAGTATTAAAAGTGCTCAATATACGTGAGAAAAAATATAACTAAAATAAAAATAACATACAGAGCTTTTAGCTTTAAAAATCAGGAGGACAGTTAAAATACATGACCATGGTTTCGACCTGACGGTCTGTTCGGGCGATACTTTTAAAATGACAAGGTCATTTTAAAAGTTTAAATTAGTCTTTCCTTTCTTTCCCTAATATTGTTCCTACCCTGACTCAAGTTTTTCCTTCTCTCTTTTTATTTATCTCAGGTAATTTTCTTTCTTTTTTTTTTCTTTTTTTCTTTCTTTCTTTCTTTCTTTCTTTCTTTCTTTTTTTCTTTCTTTCTTTCTTTTTTTCTTTCAATCTTTCTTTCTTTTCTTTTTCATTTTTATTCACTATTTCTTTCTATTTGTCATTACCTATTTAGTTACTTTCATATACCGTACCTATGAAGTCTACCTCATTTTTCTCAGCAGATATTTGGCTGAACAGTATTTCTTCATTTGCAGTGGTGGGCAGCAATATAAATCAGTTTTCGGGGTGTATGATGAAATTTGTTTGGCCTTGAAAAATATTGCGTCATCAGTGATTGCATCAGATTTTTGTCATACCCAGACACTATTGTCTCGACTGTCGATTAGTTGTCCTGTAGTCATTGTCTGCAATGGACGTTACTCCAAGGAAACGTACGAAAGTTTATAACGCTGCACAAACACACTGCCAAGTTTTACCGTTGAGCAAATTAAAGTACTATAGACTGACCGGAAAACTCTCCTGATTTATATCCAATCGAGAATCTGTGGTTAATCTGCAAGGAATGACTTCTTGGAATGGACATCCGAAGTAGTAACATGGGCACTGGGTGATGTTTCTTTGGAAAAAATGCGAAAAAAGTAAATAATAATGGTTTTGTTTCAATTAATTCGCAAGGGTTTACGTCCTACTTATTGGGAAAAACACTGCATATATCCTAGCGCACTTATAGACTACTATATATAACGTTTAATATAATAAGAAATAATAGATTATATATAAATTTCTGTAATTCCTTTGAAATTAATTTTTTTGTTAGAAAATATGGGCTTCGAAAGATATCAACAAAACATGTACATTTAATAGTTTACTTGAATTTACATTAATTGTAGATGCCCTCCATGGCTGATCAGTGGGAAAGCCCCTCGAGCTGTACGGTGCTTTCCCGTAGAAAGAGGACGCCGGGTCAATCCCTGGAAGAAGGCGTGTATTCTTTATTTAGACTCTCTTTATTTTAGTTCATTCGAACAGGCCAGGTATTTATACGGAGATGTTAACTTTCCGCTATATCCCATGATTTCTTACTGCTGCATATAACGTAATAGCAGTAGAGCCCGGCGTTGCCCGGGGATGTAACAGTAAGAGACTGAAAAATAAAATTGACAAAGATTATTGCTCAAGGTTGACGTACACGTATGTCTTAATTAGTTTTTGTTTTGTTTTTTTACGAATTGGTCAAACTCAAACTGTTCTAGTTCCACGTGCCATGTTTAATGGATGTCAGTTATCAGTTATCTTCTGTTAATTTCATTCTAAAAGTTCTCCACTGCTTTAACCGGGCATTGAACTCACACTCTTTGGGTCTTGTTACTGGATCTAACCAACGCGTTTATCCACTGCACCATGTATCATTGAGCACGTGGAACTAGAGCAGTCTACCCCAGTGAGCGAAATAAAGGGTTAAATTCGACATTCCAACCACCTGAAGGAGGCCGGAGCGTACAACGGCCGAAACGTTGTAATAAATATGGCGACAAAGATGAGGATAATAGACCGAATAATGTAAATAATCTACCCTTGGTTGTTCCAACCTTGTGCAAGGCTCAGCGGAGCTCGAACCTTAACACAATGCTTATATTTACATATTCTAACTCCTGGATCAAAAGGAAAATGTACATACACAAAAAAATAATAATAATTTTGCTTCACTATAGTTTCTATGGAAAATAGAATAAACAGTCTGTGGTAGAAATCCAAGCTTCATCATTAATTATTTACTCGAGAAAACGTACCCACCCACATAGAATACACACAAACGCGCAACCTTTTAAATTCCATAGTCCCACCAATGAATTCTTGGCATGTTGCATTGTAAAAAAAACTAACAATGCCATCCTAGCCTTGTTAGGCGTTGAAAATCTGTTTACTAAAAAAAAAATTAACCGTAGACATCGTCATATAAAACCTTCAAAACCATATAACGCCCCAATATCTAATTATTAAACCAAGTTTACGTAAACTTTCATCCAGCACGACTCATGTACTGTTTTACAATCATTATGGTCGCATTTACACACAGACTGACGGTTTAGCTATGGGCTCGCCCCTTGGTCCGACTTTCACTACCTTCTTTTTAATAATTTCGCCAAACTTTCAATATATGCCCGACATATTGATGACATTTTTATTTTGACGGAAAAGACAGACGAAATAAAAAATGTTTAGTTTGTT